TTTTTTTTTTTTTTTTTGCTGCTGCTGTTGTTGTTGTTTGTTGTTTTGCAGCGTCGGAACGTTTCTAGTCTAAGCAGGTGATGGGTGGAGCTTCGGTAGTTTGTTTTTGGGAAGCGAAGTCAGGGTGGGAAGAAGTCGCTTCTTGACTCTTGGCTATTGTGGGGAGGGAAGAGTTCCGAAACGAAGGTGGTGCATTGACTTGGGAAGGACTCGGTTGTCTTGAAGCTGCTGAGGTCTGTGGGAAGGGGGGCACGGGGAGAAGACGTGCAAAGAAAACGGGAAGGGGACGATTTCAGCAGGAGTTAGGAGGCTGCATTACACCTAAGGAGTGGCGGTGTCGGCCAGGGCTAAGGAGCCAGAGGGCCTGGGTTCTCAAATGTCTGTGCCTTTGCTACTTAGCTGTGCGCCCTGATCTCTGTTAAGCCTTGGTTTTCCTATCTGTAAAGTGCGGGCCGTAGTATTTCCTAGGTGGTACGTTTGCGGTGAGCGGTAAAAAGGATACTTTGTGTCGAGTGCTTACCACAGTACCTGGCAGGTAGTAAGCGCTTGATAGGTTAAAGGGACCAGCTGCTATATTTAGGGGTCCTCTGTTCTACGTAAAATGTGTGGTCGGGAACCAAACGGTGGGCGAGACTTCAGAATATTACCCTTGTGGAAATTGCTGCAGTGTTTTGTTTCGTTGTAAGTCGATTTGGCGTAACTGGCTTGGTGGGCCCTTGAAAGACCAGGGCCAATAGCAGGTCTCCCTCGTGTCATTTAAAAAGCCAAAAACCAAAAAACGTCAACTGCTGTTTGACCTGGGCACCCTCATCCTTCTGTGACTTTGAAATACTTGACTTTCATTTGCTATTGGGGGAGGGTGTACAACTTGAAGAAAGAAAAGATTTGAAGTTTGCTTGGGTTGATTTATCCACTGATTACAAAGTTAGGTCACCCTGGGGCAACTTTTTTTCTTTTTTTTTTTTTAAACCCCGACATGCCCGGTTATGTCCTCCTGTATGGAATACAGTAGCGAAGAGAAGCACACGTTGAAGGGGAACGTTAGGTTAGTTTCTGTGTAATGGGTTTCTTGCCTTGCTGTTTGGGGATGAAACAAGTGGCAGCTTCTTTTCCACAGTGTATTTTTAGTTCTCCTGTTGCCTAGCCACTGTTACAGGCTGAGTCTTTGATTTTACTGTTGTCTCTGTCTCTGAACAGATACCTTTACTTCACATACTCCTTTGGAGAAAGGGGAAATTTTCTCCAGGAACTGAGTTGAAAGCCTTCCCTTAGGGTTTGGGTGTGGGGTAGACAGAATGATACCCTCCCCAACAAAGATGTCCATACTCTAATTCCCAGAATCTGTGAATGTGTTACGTGGTAAAAGGGACTTTGCAGATCTCCTTAGAGTCAAGAATCTGAAAATAGGAAGATGATTCTGCATTTCATGGATGGACCCAATCTACTGACACAAGACCTTGAAAGCAGAGAACTTGACCCCACCTGGGAGTCAAGGGAGGGCAGAAGGGTGAACACAGAGATTGCGACCGTGAGAAGGACTCCGTTTGCTGTTGCTAGAGGGGGCCACAGGGAAAGCATGAGAAGGAATATGGTCGGCTCCAGTGGCAAAGACCAGCCCCAGCTGACAGCCGGCACTAGGAAATGGAGACCTCAGTCCTACAACCACCAGAAACTGATTGTGACCAACAGCCAGAATGAGCTAGGAAGTGGATTCTTCCCCTAGAGTTTCCAGCAAGGAATATACCTTGATTCTGGCCTCGTGCCCTAAGCAGAAGACTTAGCCAGAGCCCGCGTAACTTCTGACCTACAGAAACTTCTGTGACCTGAGATAATAAATTTCTGTTGTTTGAAGCCACTCCTGTTTGTGGCAGTTTGTTACCGCGGCAGTAGAACATTGTATCGACTTTTGGTACCTGGAGTGGGGTACTGTTACCTAAAAATGTGGAAGTGGATGAAGGCCAGAAAATTTTTGAGGAGCATGGTAGAAAAGACCTACAACAGATGGTAGAAATATGGATGTTGACTCCTAGTGAGGGCTCAGGGGGAAATGAGGCAGGTATTAGAAACTGGAGGAAAGAGGATCCTTGTTACTTAGTGGCAAGTAAGTTTAGAATTGTATCCTGTGGTTATGTGGAAAAGAGAACTAGTAAGTCATAAACCTGGCTATCCAGTGGAGATTTCCAAGCAAAGTGTGGAAGGTGGAGCCTGATGTATTTGTGCCTGTGAGTCTGACTAACAACAGGGAACCCCTATGAAATTTACGTAAAGTCCATGAGGTCCTTGAGGATTTTATACTGACAGAAACGATGCCAGCTTGGATTGAAAGACATAGTATGAAAGTTAAAGAGGTCTGTTAAAACCCCCCAGAGTCTAGGCAGGAAACGGGCTGGAAAACTCAGGTGTGAGTGTGCTGCTTTTTGTTAAAATGTGGGTGACTCAGAAGCTGGAACCAAGAGCCCAGAGAGGTGGAGCTGAAAGCTACAGAGGGTTTTTCCCTGCCTTTGAAATGGAATGGAGTTTGTCCAGATTTTGAAACTGCTTTGGACCAGTGGATCTGTTTTCTCTTCCATTTTCCTTTTTTGGACTGGGAATTCTATAACTGTTGCCCTATACCTGTCCCACCCTTGTGTATTGGAAGCAAGTAGCTTGGTTTTTGTTTTCAGAAATTGTGCCCCAGGAGTTCTTATTGTATTATACACAAAGCCTCATCCACATCTGATTTAGATGATGAGATTTGGGACTTTTTAATTGATGACCTTTAGGTGAGATTTTGGGATTTTGAGTTGATGCTATAACGGAATGAGACCTTAGGATGCGATGGATGTATTTTGCATTTGGGAAAGATATGAATCAATGGAGGTCAGAGGGTGGGCTGTGGTAGATGAAATGACCTGCCTTCCCTCTCCCCCCAAAGGTGTCTGTACCTTAATCCTGGAATCTGAATATGTTAACATTATATGGCAAAAGGGACTTTGCAAATGTAATTATGGTTTAAGTATCTTAAGATAGGAAGATTATCCTGGATTTTCTGAGTGGGGCCAATCTAACATGAAGGCAAAGAACTTTCTCCAGCTGGAGTCAGAGAGATGGGTCAGAAGTTAGAGATTTGAAACATGAGGGGAACTCAACCCGCCATTACTGGAGGGGGTGTCATGGAAAGCATGTGGACAGCCCCTTGCTGACCGCTAGCAAGGAAATGGGGGCATCCATCATAACAACCACAAGAAACTGAACTCAGCCAGCAGTCTAAATGAGCTTGGAAGCAGATTCCTGTCCCTGCCCCAAGTGTCAGCAAGGAACAGAGCAAGGTGGACATCTTGAGGGGTTTTTTTTTTTTGGTTTTTTTTTTTGGTCTTGGGAGACCCTAAGCAGAAGATCCAGCCAAGTGCACCTGATTTCTGGCCTATAGAAACTGTGAGATAATAAATTTGTGTTGTTTTATGTTTGTGGTAATTTGTACAGCAACAGTAGAAAACGAATAGAGGCCTTTTGCTGATTTTATTTAAAACTTTCGGGGGGATAGGGGTGCCTGGGTGGCTCAGTTGGTTGAGGGTCTGACTTCCACACAGGTCACGATCTCACAGTTGTGAGTTCAAGCCCCACTTTGGGCTCTGTGCTGACATCTCAGAGCCTGGAGCCTGCTTCCAATTCTGTGTCTCCCTTTCTTTCTGCCCCTCCCCACTCATGCTCTGTTTCTCTCTCACAAATAAATAAACATTAAAAAAATAAATAAAAAAAGAAAATTTCAGGGGGATTTTCTAAAGAACAGAAGTAGCAAAGATTATTCTGCAAAGTGATTCGGTTCTAGAAGACTTCACAGAGTAATTGTGTTGAGTAGAACCTATGCCTTTTCCTTAGTGTTTAAAT